CCATTTGGGAAGGAGGTGAAATGGGTTTCTAAGGGTGTGTTTCCACGGAAGGTGTAATTTCCAGCCAAAGTAGACATGCCCATTCTAGCCCTGCTCAAGTTAGCATCCTAAAAATACCAGTATCATGGTGCTGGCATGAAAGGTACGATGGGATAGCCACTCTGAGTCCAACCCATCTAAAGCCCTAGGCATGTACTTGGGGCAAACTTTTCCATCCTGCAAACACTTCTGAGATTGAAAACAAGAGCAACAAAATTGTCCCAAATTAGGGTAAAAAAATCAAACTATCAAAAATGTTCACAAAGTGGACACATGCCCTCCACCTCCCACACCTCCGCATTGTGCTTTGGGAGGATGGATTAAATGTTTCATTTCAGTTTTGACCCTTTTAAACTATTTTTAAGACATAAAAGAGTTGAAATATAACATCTTTTCAAAATAAAAACACCTGACACTTTTTCTGAAAATACTGGACATTTTTTCTCCAATTCTTTAAAAATAATATCCCAGTTGATAACAGTTTTGCAAACATTTTCACTTTTGTGGCAACGACACTTTTCTGGAAAAAACGGATTCAATCTCTCCACCGAGCCTACCGACGAATATCGTAGTGCAAACCCTCCGAACTCTAGCGCCACTCACCTTGGTTTGGTACCAAGACTCCGCCTCAGCTCGGCTCCTGTTGGCAATATCTTCGTACTGAGCTTTGACCTCCGTGATGATGCTGTCGAGGTCGAGCTTTCGGCTGTTGTCCATGGAAAGTACGACAGAAGTGTCCGAGATGTGTGACTGCATCTGAGCTAATTCCTGAAAAAAATCAAAGAAAAATGACATTCGGGATCAGGCTCTCTCTTCGTGCCTCCTCTGGTTTGCGTCCTCTTCATTGAAATGTTGCATGCTAAAACACCAGCCTAAAGGGAATGACAGCGCTATAAATACACATGACTAGGCACGTGTATCTCCAGTGGTTTGATTCTCTCTGAGGTAAGGCTGGCTTCTGGAATGGGTAGAATGAAAAATGGCACTATGGTAGCCCCAGGAGACTTGGGAAAGCTGGAAGGGCCTTACTGCTTCGTAGAGAGCTCTCAGGAAGTTGATCTCATCCGTCAGGGCATCTGCTTTGGCCTCCAGCTCCACCTTGTTCATGTAGGCAGTGTCCACATCCTGAAAACACAAGGACGGAGAAGGTCTAGCCAGACAGGGCACAAAATGCCAGGGGACAACCGGACAATGCCAGATATTATGGGATATCTGATTTTGGTGACCTCCTGAGGTCTCTTCCAACTCTACGAGTCTATGATCTGGAGATACATCACCCTGGCTGGGGGTAGAAAGAGAGACAAGTTGGACCACCAGCTTACCTAAAAGAAGGGTTTCGGTGAGGATGGGCAGAGCTCTGCCCTCATTGTTCTCCCGGAGATGGGGGAAGAAAAGGTCAAACAGATATAAAGAAGTCCTTTAAAAAAAAACAACCCCCCTCCCCGGTCCTTTTTTATCAAGATCACTTGCCTTCTTGAGCATCACAAACTCATTCTCCGCCGCTGTGCGCTTGTTGATCTCGTCCTCGTACCTGGGGTGGGAAGAAGGGGAGACAAGCAACTTGTCACGACGTGGGGAAGTATCACCACATAGTCGCCATGGCCCGCACGCTGCAAGCCCTGGCTATGTGGTCCTCCTTGACAAGCCTGGGCTTGGCCAACGTCTTGACCTTGGCTCTCAAGGACATGGTCAGAGCCCGTTCAGAAAGGCCACTTACTAGCTGATCCCCTGAGAGGCCAGAAGGAGCAGCAGGAAGAAGTGGCTGATGGGGCGTCGCCTGCCTGGAGTACGCGAGAAGCCTACTTGAAGATACTGCACCCTGGGGCCACGCAATGGAAGGGCGCCATTCCCAGAACAAGCAAGCCTTCATTAAAGGCATGTTCCAGCCGCCTCCCATTTTCCACCCTGCTTGAAAGCAGGCTCGTAATCCCTGTAACTGTTCTCAGGCTGGAAGGGTTGGGTGGGGCTCTGGTTGAGCTCATGCGTGCCACGCCTGGGTTAGTCAGTCGAGGTTGGATTCGGCATGGATGCCTGCCATCCGGGTGACTTTGGTGGAGCTGCAAAAGCAGAGGGTCTATGGGCAGACTCCAACCTGGTGCGTGTCTCTGCTACGTGACGAATCCAGCGTCTGACTCCAGCTCTCCTGCTTGGTGATACCTAGCAATGCCCCTCAGCAATTGTGGGGAGGATGATGGCTAACACAACACACAGAACACTACACACAGACTGCTGCCCTGTCCACGAGGAGTACAGATAGTTCGGAATAGGAAGCCTATTCCGAACTATCTAGTCCGTGCCGCGTGTAGCCGCGGGCACGGAGTCCGCACTAGCGGACATTTAAAAATGGCGGCCCCCGGCAACATGCAAATGAAGCCCGGGAAATTCAAATCCCGGGCTTCATTTGCAAGTTCGTATGACTACATTAACCATCCTAGTTCGAACTAGGGTGGTAGTGTAGACATACCCTTAGGTTGAACCTCTCTAGTCCGGCAACCTCCGTGGTCCGGCATGATGTGTGTTCACCACATGTCCGCTTAGCAAAGGTGTGGCCAAGTTTTCTCGGCCCCATAAAGTTTGTTTCCCACCCCCAGTCCTGGCTCTCAGTGTTCGGTGCTGTTATTTAGCTCTAATTGCCCCCTCGATGTCTCAGAGCCCAGCATCAGTAATGCTGCTAGACAATATTGACCTCCTGTGGTCCGGAAAATTCTCTGATTTGGCACCGGGCAGGTCCTGAGAGTGCCAGACTACAGAGGTTCAGCCTGCAATTAATTGGGGGAGATAAATGGCTACAATTCAAAGAGAGATTTTGTGCCCCATGGAAAGTAAGCCAGGCAAGATTGTCTCTTCACGAAAGGAAGGATAACAGGCTCTCTCTCCTCGGGAATACGATACCCATGAGAGGGCGTGATGGCCCAGCTATGTTCATATCTATCTCGGCTTCTATACGTGGCAAATTCATTCAACCTCCCACCCAAAACACACCAAAATTAAGTTGAAAAGGAGAGCAAATAGCTCCCATGTTCTTTTCAACTCCCCATCACAGGGCACACCCCTGAAACAAGCCACGTCCTTTTCCCATTAGCCGGAGATTCTGGGGATCATGTCAGGACAGGGGCTACAATTTATCTCTATTCAGCAGAGCACTTATGCACGCGCTTATCTTTAAGCGTGTGCTTACATCCTTTCCTGAATCGGGGCCCAAGTGGCTGTGGGGTCCCTCTCTGGAAACAGAGCCAGAAATTCATCGATTTGCAGGCCTGACTGAGTATTAAGCCCAACCTCCTGAACCACACCAACTAGAATTTCACACAGTCATTCCCGCCTTGATCCAAGCAGAATTCCTAACGGTTTCCAAGGACCCTCCTTAAATGAATTAGCCTCCCATGCTGCTGATCTGTTGCAGACAGTGTCTACGCTAGACCAGTGGTTCTCAGTTTGATTCGATTGCCTCACTCTTCTTTGGGTCGGCGGGATTTTATGTTGCCCTTGTACTTGAAAGCAGAACGGAAGTAGCGGCTGCTGGCCGGGCACCCAGCTCTAAAGGGCCAAGACTCACAGGGAAGGTCAAATCAAGATACACAGTTCCAGCTACATTAGTTACCTAGCTGGAGTCGAACTCCCTTGTTTCGAGTTTCCCTGCTGTCCCCACAGCGGAAGACCGCTAAGAGCCAACATTCCTATTGGCTTCCTTTATTCCTTGCAGAGTAACTGGCTTCACGTTACTCCTTAACTAGACTCGCTAAATCAAACTCCGGAAGATTGATCGCAACAGCGTCGATGTTCCGTTTAGCGGAGACATGGCCCCACACGTGTATGCGGGTATAAGCTTTCGTGGGCTGGAACCCACTTCATTGTTTTCACTCGGGGCGAAGGGGGGATTTTTCACCACCCTCAAGCCATGTCCACACTATGGAGAAGATCAATTCTCCAGAGATCAATCTTCTAGTGTTCAATTTAGCAGGTCTAGTGTAGACCCCCAAATCGAACGCTGAGGGCAGACAGTACTCCTCCCTCTGCAAGGGGGAAGGGAAGCCGATGGGAATCGCCCATTGGCCTCCCACAGGGTAGAGGCCACGGCGGCTCGGCGGAGGGCAAACCGAATCCAGCTATGCGTAAGGAGGATGGTGTACCCTAAACCAACCTGCCTGGTCTAGTGTAGACCTAGGTTTAGGGAGGGGGAGTCGCGCCGATACATTTGTAGTATAGCCCCGGCCTGTGTTTTTCGGTACAACACCTATGGGTGTGGCATAATCATGAGAGTACCACAGATTAGCAGAGCGTAGCAGACCAGGCTAGAAAGTTTCGCTTACCTGATCTTGAAATCTTCCACCGTGTCCTGCATGTTCCGCACCTCTGCCTCCAGCCGAGGCCTCTCGCCGCTGATAGCGTCTAGCTGCCGGCGCAGGTTGTTGATGTACGCCTCGAACAAGGGCTCGATGTTACTTTTCACGGTTTTGTGCTCCTGCAGCAGGCACCATTTGGTCTCCAGCACCTTGTTCTGCTGCTCCAGGAATCGGACCTGAGCCCCACCAGACAAAACACCGAAACCTTAGAAGTAGCCTCATCGAGTTAAAAAAGTAAAAGATCATCTCCACCCCCGAGCGGACTTCTTAAGACCTCGATTGGAAGGTCTTCTGGGCAGGGACTTTGAGTGCAGGATGGCTTTAAAGGAGCATGTGCATTTAATACATGTTAGAAAAGCCGGGGCTAAGAGTCAGTTGTTTCTATCCATCTCAGTAAAATACGCGGAGTGCCATCAAAGCAGGGGCGGGCAAAATACGGCCCGCAGACTAGATTGGGCTGGCCAAGGACTGGATCCAGCCCGCGGCCACCCAGAGGCTCTGCCTGTCCAGCTAAATCCTGTGTAACCCACACAACTCCCCCATGGAGCGGCACTTAGACCCTTACAGAGAGAGAGAACAACAAGGGAGCTCTACAGCCGCCACGGGGAGCCAGCTGGCTTTATCGCACAAGCTGTAGCAGCTCCTTCACTAAGCTCCAGAGGTCCCGGGTTCAAATCTGCCTGGTGGGGGTTACACCTGCACCCCTTCTCCAGGTCACAGCTCCAGCCCATCCCAGACCCTACACCTGCACCCCTTCTCCAGGTCACAACTCCAGCCCATCCCAGACCCCTGCATCCCCTCCTCCAGGACAGAATCCCAGCTCACAACCCTTCCTTCACCCAAATTCCCTCCCAGACCTCGCACCCCAATTCCTTACCCCCAGGTCCCTTCTGCACCCAACCTCCATCCCAGAACCCTCTCCTGCACCCGTACCCCTTCCTGTCTTCTGTACCCCAGTCTCTGGCCCCAGATCACAACCCCTCCTTCACCCAAATCCCATACACCCCAATCCCTTACCACCAGCTCCCTTCTGCACCCAACCTCCATCCCAGAACCCTCTCCTGCACCCGTACCCCTTCCTGTCTTCTGTACCCCAGTCTCTGGCCCCAGATCACAACCCCTCCTTCACCCAAATCCCATACACCCCAATCCCTTACCACCAGCTCCCTTCTGCACCCAACCTCCATCTCAGACCCCACATCCCCTCCATGAATATCAGGGAAGAATGTGGCCCTTGACCACTTAAATTCTTGGATTGTCGACCCCTGCAATAGAGAGACAATGTGAGCGAGGGAATATTACTGGACCAGTTTTGGCAGGTGAAGGAGATAAACTTTGGAGCTATACAGAGCTCTTCCTGTCACCAGAATACAATATATTTCCTCACCCTGGGGCCAACAAAGCTACAATCACACCCTAGTGCAGGAAACATTTGCGTTTCAAAGCTCTTAGATCCATGACCATATCTTTCCTTTATGTTTATTCCCATTTGGGGGGTGGTGAAGCCATAATAAACAGGCACTGTTTTAGGTGCGATTTAAAAATGAGGCGGTACCGCTTGTTTGAAATGTCACGGTCAAGCAACAATTGGATGCAAATTGTTAGTGCGTGTCTTTTGTTTTCCTCGTTTGCAAGAGAACAGGCATGGAGAAACATTCAGCCTTGAAAACTTAGAAGAGAAATTGACCAAGCCCGGCACAAAATCGCCGGGTCTGCTTTCACTCAGATGCCGATGCTATTTTAAAGAATTAAAATATTTAAATCTTTGAATTAAAGAACTCAGAAGACGTCCCCCAGCTCAGGGGGCAAGTCGAACATTTTCAGAATCTCGCACTTCACATGCCAAAGCTACAGAACTTAGAGGGATGGGAGAATGAAGGATCAAAATCCTTCTTTCATGCCCAGAATGTGGCATGGGGGCAAGCAGAGGGATAATTCTGTGATGAAAGGGCTATGACGATTTTGTCCCTCATAACGGAGAACAATAACGAATCACAGAACGTTTAACGGATCTCGAGTAGCCAATGGCGTGCATGCAAAGACAGGTGCCGCGGCGGAGGCTGACCCTGCCTTACCTTGTCAATGAAGGAGGCGAATTTATTGTTGAGGGTCTTGATCTGCTCTTTCTCCTCTTTCTTCACCTTCTGGACACTGGGGTCGATCTCCAGGTTGAGGGGCATCAGGAGGTTCTGGTTGACGGTGACCTGATGGATCCCGCCAGCTCCGGATGCGAATCCACCACCGAGCCCATATCCAGCTTCTCTGATCCTACCTCCCATCCCGCCGTAACCTAACCCGTAAGCGTACCCCGATCGTGCGGAGTGATAGCCTCCGCCAACGGAAATTCTTTTGCTTCCGCCTAGACCATGGAAGCTCCTGCTGCTGAAACCGCCGCCGCTGATCCGTCCCAGCCCTCCGCCACCTCCCCGGGAAACGGACATGGAGCTGAAGCTGGTTCGGCTCCCCGGGAGGCCGGTGGAGGAGGCGCTAAAATTCCTAGTGAATCCACCCGACCGAAGGTTGATGGTTTTCTGAGCCATGGCTTCCGATTGCAAGGTCTGAGGAGCGGGTAGAGTGGAACTGTCGAAATGCAAAGGAAGAGCGAGGTCCTTCTGAGCTCGGGTCCGGCGGGTCGCTCTTTTTATCTGCTTGAGGAGCTGGGCTTGGTCATGGGACAGCTCTGATCCCTGGGCTGAATTAATCCGTTTGGTATGCCTGGCAGCGGCCCATCTTCCCCAACCCGCTAATCACCGGCTGTCCTGGAACATCCCTTCACAGAACATCCTGGCAAGCTAGAAACTCGTAAAGCTAACTCGAATTTTCCTTTCTCAGAGCAGAGATGATTACCAAAATAAAAAAATCCCAGGCTCCCTCGGGGTTTGCTTTTAACTCAGCACAAATAGCCTTTCATCTTCCCAGCTCAGGGGAATTAAGTAGGGTGCGGAGAGGAGACCGTTGGCATTTTTCGCTTCAGCACGGACCCGCTTTGCCACCCTTCCGCCTCCGGGCATCACAGAGCTGGCTCAGAGCTTGGATTCAGCTGTCCTCAAGAAGGCGTCTCATGCCTCAGTTGAACGGCCTTCTCTTGTCGTGAGCAGGACACGAGAAGTCATTCCTCCGCTGGGCTCTGCGCAGATTCGGCCTCAACGGGAGTGTTGTGTCCAGTTCTGGGCACCCCGTGCCAAGAAAGACGTGGAGAAATTGGAGAAGGTCCAGGGAGAGCAACAAGAATGATGAACCGCTTAGAAGGCATGACCCATGAAGGAAAACTGAAAGAACTGGGCTTGTTTAATTTAGAAAAGAGAAGACGGTGAGGGAACATGCTGACTGGGCTTGTTTAATTTAGAAAAGAGAAGATGGTGAGGGAACATGCTGAATGCTTTCTGGAGTCTTAATTATTTTTACATGTTACCATATGTTTCCAATATTTTTAGTCTCTAATCCTTGTTAAATAAACTGACACTTGATTTCACTGTAAACCTTGCTAAATTCTGTATGTTAAGCAGGGTGGTGTTTAAGGTAGACCTGGTATGCTGGAGTATTTTGTTTTTCTTAAAGGAGCAAATCTGTGAATACTGTGGGTGTGCAGGAGACCAGTGGCTGTATGTTCCCAGCTGAAGCTTGGTTGGCTTGAAGTGTACCTATCATGAACCTGTAGAGTAGGGCTACTCAACTTAGGATGCCCGGGGGCCACAGTTGGAGGACCGCAACTCAAGTGTGGTTGCATAGACATGTAAATATATATGCAAATATATGCAAATAGCTTCTTTCACACTGATGAGCATAATACAGAGCACTTCCCACAATGCCCCGGTGCTCCCGGCACCTCCTCCCTGGGGGCTAGAAATGCCGACACCCTGTACCCGCCTGTTCCAGCCAGCCCATATGCTTGCATCTTTCAGTGCTCACCCCGCCTGGGAGACGCCTCGCCATTGTGGAGCGTATTCCCGGCAGAGGCCGTGTTCAAAGCATCCCACCCGCGGGCCAGGTGTTGAGCCCCAAACCGCACCGCAAGCCTCAAACAGGCCGTGGGCCGCTTGTGTTGAGTAGCCGTGGTCTAGACAGTACGTGGCCCTGACGTGAGGGAAGGGGGCGGGACTTAATGACCTCTCGAGGTCCCTTCCCGTTCTCGTGTTCTATGATTCTCTGATTCTTACGTTTGGAAAGAGGAGTCATTCATAAGGAAACAGATTCTATGCCCAGTTCCATCTGGGTGTAAATCTGAAGCCAGCTCCAACAGATGCAACAGCTTGTAGGTCCGGAGATTTTCAGAGCCCCCGCGATAATCCAGTCTGAGGTCCCATGTAACGCAGGTCATAGGATGTGTCACTCACGCATTGTGCTCAGGGCCTCTCTTGGTTTGATATCACAGAAGCCTTCCCCAACCACCCTTAGGGTGTGTCTAGACTACAGGGTTTTGTCGACAAAACTATACCTGCGTCCACACTGCCTTTGAGTTCTGTCGATATAACTGCTGAGTTTTGTCGACGGCTGTAAACCTCGTTCTACGAGGAATAACGCCTTTTGTCGATAGAGTTCTGTCGATAGACGGCATTATTGCATCTACACTGTCCTTTGCGTCCACACTGTTATGTCGACAAAGCGACTTGCTTTGTCGACAGAACTGGATGTTGTCTAGACGCTCTTTGTCGACAGAAGCCCTGTCAACAGTATCTGTCGACAAAACTTCTGTCGACAAAACCCTGTCGTCTAGACATACCCTTAGAGCACAGCTGTCGCGGCCTCCGTTTGCAATGCCATCTTGGCACGTGTCCCATAGCAGCGAGTTGAACAGGCAATTGAAACCGTTACCGAAACCGAGACTCCCCACGTACTTTGATTTAGTCATACCACAGCCTCCTCTTAACCACGCTGCATTTAATTGGAACATCTGGAGTTCTGGAAGTCTCCCAGGGAACTAATTTAGCTCGCTTAGGTACCCATAAAGCTTAATAACGCTAGATAGTAATGACTGTGGATACGCCAGGAAGGACTTGTTGTATATTCTGTTTAATGGCCAGCCGTTTGGGGGCGCTGATGGAACTTCCATGTCATTTTGCATCGATATATTTCAAAGGGGGCATGGGCATTGATTTTGTGCCTTTTTTTCAGAGGGGCTGAGTGAAGGACAGAGGCAACAGCCCATGATCTCTCAGCAGAGCTGGAAAACAGAACCTAGATCTGAGTTCTTGGGTTTTCGTTCAGGATTGAATCCTGCGTCTTGGGGGTGGAGCCTGGACTTGGCCACAGAACTTGGCCCTTTGTTGCCAAGAAAGAAGAAATACAGGGGGGAGAGACCAGGAATATTATTTCAGTCCTTGCTCTTTCATTCAGTCCAGCATTTAACTTTGGAGGATTAGATTTACCTCTTTAAAAGCTATCTTCCCCTAGGCCACGATTCTGCATATCTTTTCACGTGCTTACCTTTAAGCAGATGCTTAAATCTCATAGAATCACAGAACCCTAGAACGGGCAGTGATCTGAAGTGGGCATCACAGTCCAGTCCCCTGCCCTCACGGCAGGACCAAGCCACACTGCAAAACACGAGACAGGTATTTTCTACAGCTGATTGGAATAGAAGCAGCTGATATTTTTAACCATCCAAACGGGCTTTGGTGAACAATTCCCACTAGTTTAAATGGGAACGGAACCCAGGCAACTCCCTCCCCCCCGTAAAATCGCCCCCAGGATCAGTAAGTCAATTACATACGTTTACATGGCTGAGGCTATTTCTACACGGTGGCTGCATCTAGACTGGCAAGTGTTTCCGCAAAAGCAGCTGCCAATGTTCTCTCTATTTTCCAGCCGTGTGCAGAATAAATTTTGTCCGGTGCACTCAAGCATCTGCAGATGTGCACCACCAATAGAAACATGGGCTGCCGGTTGTGGACACTTGGTGGCACCACCAATAGAAACATGGGCTGCCGGCTGTGGACACTTGGTGAATCTGCTGAGCAGCGTTTGAATCTCTCCTGGGTGGCCACCCAAGCGTTAGCTTACAGGGAATTCTGGTGGCATCTCCTAAGACAGGGAAACCTCTGTCCTGAAGGCCACGTCTTCACTCAGATGAAGATCAATTCTGCTGCAATCGATCTTCTGGAGTTCGATTTAGCAGGCCTAGTTAAAACCCACTAACTCAAACTCGGAGGGCACCCCCATTGGCAGCCAATACTCCTGCTTCTACAAGGTGTAATGGAAGCTGAGCTTGGTGGTATCCCCTCAGTGGGAGGCCGACAGGAGCAAACACTCCCATTGGGTTCCTTTACTCCTCACAAAAGCAGAAGTACAGGCCACCAGTGGGGGTGCCCTCTGAGTTCCATTTAGCAGGTCTTAACTAGACCCACTAAATTGAACTCCAAAAGCTCAATCACGGCAGCAATAATCTTCCATTTAGTGTAGACAAGGCCTTAGGTGCTGATATGCCCCTTTTACTGCAGCTTCAGAGCACATGGCAACACGCTTTGATGTCTTTAACATCACAGTGATCCTGTCAGAAAGGCAGGTGAAATTATCCCCATTTTACAGCTGGGGTTAAGAAGGACGAGGTATGAAGTGAATTGACCCCAGTCCCAGAGCAGAGAATTGATTCAATGTGTCCAAGGTCCCAGGCAAGTGTGATAACCATTAGCCCATCTTGCTATTTCCTGTCCCATACTGCTCCAATTCCTTACCCCATGTTGCAAAACACCTGGAGACAACAAAATAGTTTTGAATCTGAATCACTAAAAAAAAAAACCCCAAATGTTAAACGGGGCAGGAGCGTGGACACGCCGAGTTGAAACTCCCCTGGAAGAGAGCTGGTTATTTTCATTCCCCAGCGATTTGTTTTCCTCTGAGGTCACGATTTTACCCAATATCTGGAAGGCTTTGGAGATCACTGACGAGACAGCCAGCGATGAAAAAGATTTGTATCAAAACACAGCCACACAAAACCCGCCAGGGCAGGGAACTCGCTGTTGCCCGGAAGGACTTCAAACGTCTTTTTCCTTTCAAATCCTTAGATGTTTCTCCACACCCGATTCGCTCTCCGCTCCATTCTCTGAGGGTGTTTCCTTCGTGAGTCTGTTTCAGGTGGCTAGAAAACCACAGAGCACAGCGAACGCCACTAGAGGGCACCCAACGTAAATTAAAAGGCTGCTACTCTGGTGCTGTCCACGATAGCTGGTGTCGATGGAATTTCGCAGAGCGGAAGAAGCCACTTTCTTAACCAAATAATGAAATACTCCCGGCAACCTAATATGTTGTCCATGCTACAGAGCCAGGTGCCTTGTGTCCTATAATCATAGAATCATAGAATACTAGAACTGGAAGGGACCTCGAGAGGTCATCGAGTCCAGTCCCCTGCCCCCATGGCAGGACCCAATACTGTCTAGATCATCCCTGATAGACATTTATCTAACCGACTCTTAAATATCTCCAGAGATGGAGATTCCACAACCTCCCTAGGCAATTTATTCCAGTGTGTCACCACCCGGACAGGAAGTTTTTCCTAACGTCCAACCTACACCTCCCTTGCTGCAGTTTAAGCCCATTGCTTCTTGTTCCATCCTCAGAGGCCAGGAAGAACAATTTTTCTCCCTCCTCCTTGTGACACCCTTTTAGATACCTGAAAACGGCTCTCATGTGCCCCCTCAATCTTCTCTTTTCTAAACTAAACAAGCCCAATTATTTTAGTCTTCCTTCATAGGTCATGTTCTCTAGACCTTTAATCATTCTTGTTGCGCTTCCCTGGTCCTTCTCCAGTTTCTCCAAATCTTTCTTGAAATGCGGTGCCCAGAACTGGACACAATACTCCAACTGAGGCCTAATCAGCACAGAGTAGAGCAGGAGAATGACTTCTCATGTCTTGCTCACAATACACCTGTTAATGGACAGAGCTCTGCACGGGATTGGGTCAGTAATGAAGGAACAGAACGCAAGTTCTCACCTTATTCCAACTAAACTTAACACGGTGTTTCACTCGCCTTTTGAAATCTTGCAGTATCTCGCTTTGGCATTAAATAAAGTAACTGGTTGGTGCATTACAAAGCCAATTTCCCTTGCCTTTAACATCTGCATTTTCACATCTAAAGCTATGAATGGGACACATCCAGCCCACTTCATTAGCTTCATTAACACGGGTCCTACAGTTGATAGATACTTCTTGTGCTGTTATATATCTCTTGAATTCTGTTATTTCCACTCCAACTCATTTGATGGAGTGGGTTTTGCCCACATGATACTATATATTTTTTGTTAGTCTCTAGGGGAATGTCTAAACTACAAAGATTTTTTGAAAGAGGATATGCCAATTCCCATGGACATGGGAATTTGCATATTTTCTTCCGGTCGCATTTTCAAAAGAGGATCTTTAGAAAATGAAAGTAGTCTGGATGCGTTTTGTTGGGGAAAAAACCCTTTTCGAAAAAACCTCCTTTTTTAGGACTATTTTAAAACACTGGAAGGCATACTGCTCTGTTACTGTGCATTACAGCGGGCATCCGTGGAGTTTCATGGACTGGAAGCGGAGAGCAAAATTTGCCCCCTCAACTTGGACTACTGCCTTACCAAAAGCATATTCATTTAATAGAATCAGAGACTCCCAGGGCTGGAAGAGACCTCAGGAGTCATCGAGTCCAGCCCCCTGCCCAAAGCAGGACCCACCCAACTCAATATTTTTTAGTTTGGAAAAAAGAAGATTAAGGGGGGACATGATAGCGGTTTTCAAATATCTAAAAGGGTGTCACAAGGAGGAAGGAGAAAATTTGTTCCTCTTGGTTTCTGAGGACAGGACAAGGAGTAATGGGCTTAAAGTGCAGCAAGGGAGGTTTAGATTGGACATTAGGAAAAAAATCCTAACTGTCAGGGTGGTCAAATATTGGAATAAATTGCCAAGGGAGGTGGTGGAATCTCCCTCTCTGGAGATATTTAAGAACAGGTTAGATAGACATCTGTCAGGGATAGTGTAGACGGAGCTTGGTCCTGCCTTGAGGGCGGGGGGCTGGAATCGATGACCTCTCGAGGTCCCTTCCAGTCCTAGGATTCTATGATTCTATGATTCTATGATTCTATCTAAACAATTGTGAGCTCTCAGCATTATAATTGGTGTGTTAACAATGGCTATAGTGAAGCTTGCCCAAGATTTTCCATTCTAACTCCTGATTTCTCCTAATCTCCAACCTAGACCTCCCCCACTGCAACTTGAGCCCATTGCTCCTTGTTCTGCCCCCTGCCCCCACTGAGACCAGCCTCTCTCCAGCCTCTTTGGAACCTCCCTTCAGGAACTTGAAGGCTGCTCTGAAATCCCCCCTCACCCATCTCTTCTGCAAACTAAATAAGTCCAGATTATTTCCCTGAATCATCGTTAATGAAAAGGACGGGGACAGCAGAATAAATGACATATGCATTTTATTAGACAAACACTGGAAAGCAACATGAAGTTTCCAACAACATGAGCTCCTGCACCCAAAGAACAAACATTAGCACAACAAGTTTTATATACAACATAAGGCCAGACCACTAAAGTTCCAAGTCGATTGGAAATAAAACGGGGAAATACATGCAGGAGGAGCAACAAAGGCGGCAAATGCAGAACAAGTTGCAGAAACAGAACTCAGTGGAATCTGGATGAGCTACGCTAGTCTGGGTTGTAAATTTCTAGACAAGCGGCCACCGGTTTCACCGAATACTGAACCATCAGGATGACACAAATCACTATGAAGAGAGAGCCATGTGCATCGTGTCCTATAATGGACACAGAGACCTCTTTTTGAAATGTGCACTATGTTTGGATAAGAAATGAATGATCAGAATAAAAAAATCAGTGCTTAACCTAATGGTTCACTTGCCATTCTACAACTTACACAATTGATCTTTGCCTAAAAAAATATGGAATTACACGCGCCACTTGGTCTAGAGAAAAAGGAAAATATATGTGGAAAGAAGGGTGGCTTTGCTGGTTGCACTAGAAATGGGAGAAACAGTGTAATCACCAGAGGTATTCAGAAATTGGAGACCTCTTTTTTTTCCCATACAAAAATTCACTATTTCACTAGAAAAAAAGGTAGCCCTTCCACTGAATATTTTTGACGTAAACCAAATTTGGAGACACTTTTCAGCATTCAGGGAGGAGATGCTGGTATGTGTGGCTGCACGTTTGGGGGTGAAAATTAACAGAAATATTTGGCTTTGTCAAAAACATTCATTTTGTCAGCATTCTGTTGGAGAAATGTGTACTTCCCTTCTTGTTGGACAGGGCTTCTAGGTGGCTACGTGAGAGACAATAAAGACTGAAAAAAAGAACAGGTTCAAGACAACGTTTGGAAAATTCAAACATTTTTTAAGCTTGGTTCGTAAAGTGAAGGTTAGAAAAAGTCGCCTTGATTCGTGGCGGTGGCCCCATTATGGGTGAGGAACGTATCGGCATCAGGAAATCAGAGCGCTATTTCTTTCGGGGAGCGAGGGCGTTGCAATCTGAGCTTTAGCTTTTGTAGCTTCTCCGGGTGGAAGAGGTCTTTGAGACGAACTTCACGCTAGAGCCACTTCCGCCTCCAAGACTCAACCCACCGACGCCTCTTCCACTTCCAGAGCTGAAGCTCCCACCTCCAACGCAGACACCGCTTCCGCCTCCAAGGCCGAGACCGCTTCCGCCTCCAACGCAGACACCGCTTCCTCCTCCCATGCCGAGACCGCTTCCGCCTCCGTAGCAGACACCACTTCCTCCTCCCATGCCGAGACCGCTTCCGCCACCATAGCAGACACCGCTTCTGCCTCCATATCCGCCTCCAACAGTTGAGGAGACCACAGCTGCAAAAAGAAAGCGCCGTTCATTTAGATCTCATGGTGCGGTGGCCACCGAGAGGCGGAGAGTGACGAAAGCAAAGCAGTGGTAAAATGTACACCTTGAAATGACTTACAGATATTCACGGCTCCAACACCATCTCCACACAGCCTGTTCGAGGACAGAAGAGAGCACCGTAAGAATTCAAGTCACATTCGTTGGCAAGAGATGGTGGAAGATAAAGCAAAAATAAAATATCAATTAATGTTTTTCCTTAAGGAGTTGAAATTGGCATGCAGAAAACAGGCCCCTTCAGTGCGCCAAAACCTCAATTTTCCAACTAAAACAAAAAAAGTTGGGCCTGAAATTTAGACTAGTCTTCAAGGGTTTTTTCTAGTTGTCTTTTGATGCTTCAAAACATTGCAACTTCCCTGCACACCGCTTGACAAAGGGAACGATCACCTTTGCGAATGACTCAAATCGCAGATACTTTTCAGCCACATTTCAAAACAGGTTTCTGTTCAGATTTAAATTGATTCCAGCAGAGTTTTCAGGACTGTGGCCCCCCTGCCGTTCCCACTGGCTTCAGGTGGGCAATTGGCCGTTCGGCACTTATTACAATCTGGACGCAAAGGGTTTGCGTTTCACCTACCTGCTCTCCTCTCCTTCCAGCAGCTTGCGGTAGGTGGCGATCTCGATATCCAGGGCCAGCTTGACGTTCATCAGCTCCTGGTACTCCCGCAGCTGGCGGGCCATGTCCTGCTTGGCCTTCTGCAGGGCATCTTCCAGATCAGCCAGTTTTTCTCGGGCATCCTTGAGGGCCAGTTCTCCACGCTCTTCTGCCTCGGTGATGGCCGCTTGCAGGTTGGCGCACTGTGGGACAGAAGACAAGCTAGCTACACTTCCACAGAAACATCAGACCCTTTGGCCCTCCTCGGATGAAATTGAACCGGCATGGCTGCAGAGAAAGGGGATTCCTCTCTGGGGATTTCATCCCCACCCATCAACTTTAGGACTGATCAGCAGCTGGTGTCACTCATCCTCACTCCAGTGCTCGTGTCAGTGATTTATCCCACTGAGAATTTCTCTCTCTGTGGTTTAATCTAGCACCTCGACAACAATTCACCGGTTCTGGCTAAGGAGCTGCAAGGGAAGGAACATTCGGGATAGGTTCGTGTAGCTTAACCATTTGGGGTCCGGCTCGCCAGACGGTGTATCATGCCACTGGATGTATTGAGTTCAGGGGAGTGACGCTCATTTACACGGCAGTCGGTTCTGCTTGACAGTCGTTTATCCGCTTTCTTTAGAGGCAGAAATATCAGGTGAACTTCTTGATGGCATCTTTACTCTGCGATCCAAGGGGACCGAGGGACCACAGCCGATATCGGCGAGGGTGCATTTGACCCTCTCTTAAGGGGTAGGATGGTCCCAAGTCTTGGACCTGAGACAATGAAACGCCCGCACAGAAAACACCCCCCTGTGGTTTCCGCCGCGCCTACCTGTCTTTTCACACCATCGATTTCAGCCCGCAGCCTCTGGATGCTCCGGTTCAGCTCTGAGATCTCGTGCTTGGTGTTGCGGAGGTCATCCCCGTGCCTGCCTGCGGTCAGCTGCAGCTCTTCATACTGCCATGCACAGAAGGACACACATATCTCATTAAAGTCCACATACTTTGGGGCAGGCAATGCATGGCATTACGTGTGTGTGGCGTCTAGTACAATCGGTCGCCTCGGCAACCCCGGTCGGTACTTCTGAACGCGCAGCCACACAAACAAGTAAGCACTAATAATAGCGGCCTACCGAAGGTGCCACTGATTGGAACCCAACCCTCACCCCTCACAGGGCTGAGTTCCAAACAGCACATTCGGTTGTACACCTCATAATAGCGGCCTACAACCGAAGGTGCCGCTGATTGGAACCCAACCCTCACCCCTCAGAGGGCTGAGTTCCAAACAGCATATTCGGTTGTACACGTCTAGGGTTACTATACATGGTTGTACATCGCTATGGTTACAATATCTGGTTGTACACCTCTATAATCACTATCACTGTACACAACTATGGTTACTACACATGGTTGTACACCGCTATGATTACTATCCATGGTTGCACATTGCTATGGTTACCATACACGGTTTTACACCGCTATGATTACTATCCATGGTTGCACACTGCTATGGTTACCGTACACGGTTGTACACCGCTATGGTTACTATCCACAGTTGCACACGGCTATGGTTACTGTACACGGTTGTACACCGCTATGGTTACTATCCATGGTTGCACACGGCTATGGTTACTGTACACGGTTGTACACCGCTATGGTTACTATCCACGGTTGCACACGGCTATGGGTACAGTCGTATACCACAATGGTGACTCACCTTTGTTTGGTACCAAGATTCGGCCTCAGCTCGGCTCCTGTTGGCGATGTCCTCGTACTGCGCCTTGACCTCCCGGATGATGCTGTCCAGGTCCAGGCTTCGGTTGTTGTCCATGGACAGGACGACAGAGGTGTCGCCGACATGCTGCTGCATCTGGTTCAGCTCCTGCAAGGCGTGCCCGCCCCACAAACAACAATCAAGATCGGGAAAGACTCGTCGCAAACAAGCTTCAGAATTTACCACTCAGCCGCTGGCAGAGACGGCAGGAGACCGGGACTTACCGTCTCGTACAGGGCTCTCAGGAAGTTGATCTCGTCCGTCAGGGAGTCCACCTTGGCACCTAGCTCCACCTTGTTCATGTAGGCAGCATCCACATCCTGAAAGGGAAGCAGGGGTCATGAGCAAAGTTCTTTCACCAGCAGGGCTCCGGATTCCCTGGGACCTGCCTGTGCTGCAGTCCCCCGTCTATACCATAGGACTAAGAATCCTCCCTTTGTCCGTCTTCTCTAGTGCAAGCTCTTTGGGGCAAGGCCCGTCTCTTGCTCTGTGTCCGGAGACCGCCTAGCACCGTGGTGCCCGGATCTCTAGGCAGGGTTGTCAACGTGGGGAGGAAACAGGGCAGCTGCCCCCAGGCCCGGTCTGGGAGTCATGGCCAGCATCACTGCTACTGCAGCCGCAGTGGTAGCCGGAGGTCTGGGCCCTTTTCAATAGTGGCCACGTGGTCCGGGCAATGCAGAATGGCCGATGGGGGGAGACTAGCCTCTTGCCCAAAGCCCCGCCCCTTTTAGGAGGGGCCCGGAGCCTCCCTCCCCCTTTCCCCAGGTCCCTCGGCCCCAGGTGTTGCTGAAAGACAATCTCAAGGCTTGGGACCGCACGACCGTCACTCACCTTCTTGAGTGTCACAAAGTCATTCTCCGCCACCGTGCGCCTGTTGATTTCATCTTCGTACCTGAGAGAATGGGGCAGAGGGAGGGTCGCTGTTAGGCAAGTCATCGACAGAGACAATCGCAGCCTGTCAGAATAAACGCCCCAAAGAGCAGGTGGCGAGCATGCCGCTCTCTGCTGTCCCCGGGATCTGAATTTCCGTGTGCAGGAGGCGCAGGCGGTGTGCCGTGCGGCGAGGCAAAACCAGAGAAAAACATGCAAAGCCGTGTCTCTGGACAACTACTGCCCAGACAACTGTCTGAAGAGTTTCTCGCTTCCTGGCTGTCCCTCGTTCTCACTGTTTCTTCCCTAAGGCTACGTCTAGACTGCAAGCCTCTTTCGAAAGAGGCTTTTTCGAAAGATACTTTCGAAAAAGCTTCTTTCGAAAACGAGCATCTAGACGACAATCGGTACTTTCGAAAAAGCGAGCACCTGGACAGTCTGGATGCTCTCTTTCGAAAAAGCACAGTTTGCATTACAGAGCGCCTTTTTTTGAAAGAGCACTTTCGAAAAAAAGGCGTTCTTCCTCGTGAAATGAGGAGTACCGCCGTCAAAAGAAAAGCCGCGTTCTTTTGATTTAATTTTGAAAGAATGCGGCTGTCGTCTAGATGCAGGTGAAGTTTTTTCGAAAAGAGGCTACTTTTTTCGGAAAAAACCCTGCAGTCTAGACACAGCCTAAGAGTTTAAGGAGGCAGCCTCCCAAAGTCTAAAGCGCATGGATGTTTTTACTCACACCGGTAATTGCCTCCCTAAATCCTCACAGATTCGCCTAAGAGTTTAAGGAGGCAGCCTCCCGAAGTCTAAAGTGCATGGATGTTTTTACTCACACCAGTAATTGCTTCCCTAAATCCTCGCAGATTTTAGACGGAACTTGTCATCCACAAAATACTGCTACCTCCCGACCTCTTGTGTCCCTTCACTCAACAGAGAGATGTTTAATGGTCCTAATTAATGTTGGAAAAAGTTCAGAAAAGGGCAACCAAAATGAGGAGGGCTTTGGAGCAGTTGCCCTATGAAGAGAGATTAAAAAGACGGGGACTTTTCATCTTAGAAAAAAGAAGACGAAGGGGGGCAAGGACAGAGGTCTATAAAATCACGAGCGGTGTGGAGAAAGCGAAGAAGGAAAAGTTATTTCCTTGTTCCCATAACACAAGAACTAGGGGTCACCCAATGAAATGAAGAGGTAGCAGGTTTAAAACAAACAAAAAGAAGTTTTTCTTCATGCTGCGCCCAGTCAACCTGTGGAACTCCTTGCCGGAGGATGTTGTGTAGACCAGGACTTTAGCAGGGTTCAAAAAAGAGCTAAACAAATCCAGGGAGGTTAGGTCCATCAATGGCTCTTAGCCAGGATGGGTAGGAATGATCCCTAACCTCTGTTTGTCTGGAAATGGATGACAGAGAAGGGATCATGTGAGAATTCCCTGTTAGGTTCACTCCCTCCGGGGCACCTGGCATTGGCCGCTGTGGGCAGACAGGACACTGAGCTGGATGGACCTTTGCTCTGACCCCGTCTGGCTGCTCTTATGTTCTTCTAATTTAACTATGGGGAAGTGGCAAACGTCCAAACAATATAAGATGCAAACTTGGAAATTTGTTAGCCTTGCCCCTCCCTTTTCGGCTGGATATTACTACACAGAGGCCCTGTATATTTTTTTATATAAGCACCCCAGCACCTGTGGAAATAGGAAACAGGTGAAAGGGAAGGTCTTACTTGTTCTTGAAATCCTCCACCACGTTTTGCATGTTGTTCAGCTCCCCTTCCAGTCTTCCTCTGTCGTTCGTCAGGGTGTTCAGCTGCCTCCGGAGATTGCTGATGTAATTTTCGAAGAGGGGATCGATGTTCATCACCGTTTTTTGTCCCTGCTCCTGCAGCAGGCTCCATTTGGTTTCCAGCACCCTGTTTTGCTGCTCCAGGAATCGGACCTGAAATGCACGAGGATGCAGAAGATGCTTAAGAGGGAGAAGGGGGCATAAAAAGCCAGAAAAGCATGACAATAATACGGCTCGTTTCGGGGGAACGGCCATGCAGGTGGAGGATGCTGACCCGCCGAGCTCCTAGGAGGTAGCGAGCAAGCTGGCGCTGGCAAGAAAATAGCCTAGGCCAGCTCCTCAGCTGGGAAGTGAGTGTAGCAAATTTGACTTCAAGGATCCTGCCCAAGTTACAATGTAATTAGAAGCCATTTCCCCCTGTTCCTTAGAGAATATACCTCCCCCACGGCCATCCCTGGGGGGGCACGGGGCCTGGGCCATCGCCCCCCCGTGCCCCAGGCGTGGGCCCAAGTGCACCCCCTCCCGCAGCCCCC